TGTTACTTGTCTCAATGTATTTCCGAGGACCCTAAACCCGCGATCGGCCACCCACGAGACCAAGATTGATGGCATGGTCCTCCGAGAGTTAGGTAACTTCATAAACTACGGCATGAAATATGTCCCCTGGGAAGCAGATACTACTGAAATAGTTGCCCAGTGAAGGTTCAGCGCAGTTGTAGCCACCGATAATGATAAGGATGCGGTTCATCAACAAAGATGTCTTTGTCGCCCGGTGCCGGATACAGCCGCTGTTAGAGAGGGGAGTGTTTCTCACGGTGTCTTGAGTGTTGACGTTGAGGCGCGCAAAAGGGCCATTCGACTTTGCACCAGAACTGCCTCATAAGCAGCTCTCAGCGGCTATTCTTCTTATATCCTCTGCCTGTGTTTTGGGAAGGATTTAGCAGACAAAACTATACGGAAAGGAGGCCCTGGATTGTCATGAGCGGCGTGGACGCCGCGCCTTCATCTTCTCTTACGTCTCATAACGACTCCAACACCGACATCCTTGACCATGATTCATTATCAGCCCCACAACACGCCTTGCTGCCTACACACGACCAACAGCCTCCCCTTGACCTCGACCTAGCCTGTCTTGCGCAGTCTGACACTGCCTTGGACGACCCTTCCAATCACATTTCCCTTCAGCACTCTCGTGATCACATCTTTGGCGACCTTGAGAACGTTGGAGACCATGGTAAAGAAGACCACATTACAATGGTCGAGGCCGTGGACCCTGCAGTCACCCAGCAGGACCCCCAGCAGCAGTCGCCTGAGGCTCAACTGGAACTAAAACGTGTCAAGGTGAGCTTTTCTCGTACCTTTAATATCACCCATGGCGCAAGGCCCATATCGGCCTCCGTTCGATTCGTCATTCGTAACGCCAGGGGCATCATACCCACAACGTGTTGGACCTAGGCGGAAATCCACTCTTCTCTTCATCCCAAAAGCCAAAGCGTTCCCCCTGTTCATTTGTCTCCTCGCCGTTTGCATGACCTCATCAAGGGCTCACTCTGACCGACGCTATTCTTCAAAGGTTTACAAACTCATTGGCTCACGATGGATTGATCAAGGCACCGCGTACTGCTCGGGTCACCTTAACGAAGCCAACCAAGCATTTCTTATCGCCCGCTCCGAGGCCGACTTCGAGAAAATTATTCTTCAGACGGCTATTCGCTCAAATGACGTTTACCAACGCCAACAAGGTGCGCGCCCTCCCGGCGTTATTTGCCCTAATTTTACCGGGGTTTCACGAGCCATCATCGTATGACTTTCGTCACTCACACGACCTCTGGTTACAGAGAGCCTGATTGTATGGACGGAACCTGACGGAGCCGACTACGCCCTGAGCTTCCAGGATGCGGAAGGATGTGCAGAGGTGTGGAATTTTATTATAGAGGTACAACGTCATCTGAACTCCGGAGGTAAGTACCGTGTAACCCTTGACCCATGTTCCACACCCTTCTCTTGTCATGGACAACGTTCCATCTGAAACTCGAAAATTAGAACAAGGCATTGGCTCGTCCTCTCCTGCTGGAGATCATTCAAGTACCACCGCGACGATCATCCGCACCGGCCACCTACCTACTCCACAGCTTGGCAATATTCAGGACATTGAGGGCTCAATTAAGGCACTTGCAAGAGGCCAACAAGTCAAAGAGAAGATATGCGAGTACATACAACGCGAGGTGAGCTGTGGCCCCCAGTAATGTCCGGCTCCTCAATGGCCCCGCTGACGAGGGCGTTAGAATTACATCAAGGGCCTTATCGATGTCATGAACATGGCGGAGGATCTGGAGAGCCTGGATAACCTTCACGCTCTGTGCAGTCTCATGCAAACTATCCGTGGGTGCTGGTTCTCAAGCTCTTGGTGTGCATCACTCATCTTATTCGCAGTGATGATGAACGATCACGGGATTTACGAGCATATACTCGAGGACGACATTTACTTCGGAGTAGTTGGCATGCTCGAATGTGCGTTATTGCAAGTTTGCTCAACTTGTCGATTTTTAAGTGGAAAGCGTTATCAGATGACCCTGAGTTCCCCGCGCACAAGGCTAACTACCGCGAATTTCTCCACTTGAACGCTCGCTTCCACCAGCCTATCGCCATTCAAGACGAAGCCATCCGGAAGAAGGTTCATCACACGTACCGCCTTCAGTTCCTCAAGGACGTCGTTCTCGCACGCGCTCTCGATGACTCGACGTTCAACGTGCTCAATTCGTGCATCATCTTCAACCAAATCGATATCATCAATCATGTCCAGCAGGACCCTGTTTTCTTGCGGGAGATAGTAGGGTTGTATGTGAGCGAGGAGATACTTTCGGGTCCAAGGAAAGAGTTAGAAGAAGAGAATGATGGACAGTCGATGGATATGGATGGGAAAGTCAATGGAAAGACGGCGAACGGACGTCCGTCGTCGACATCAGTGACGCCTTTCTCATTCGGTCCTCCGGAGAATCTCAGTGAGAGCGAACTCACATTCCGTCGGGAAGTCGTCATCCTCATCCAACAGCTCTGCGTTATGGGTAAGAACGTTCAACTACCCGCTCGCATGACGCTATTCCGAACGCTCGTCGACCGAGGGATCCTCTTTGCTGTCCAATGGGCATTCGCATTACCCGAGAAGGAAGTGATGACGAAAGAAGTGGTCAGCGCCGCGGGCGAGATCATGTCTGCACTTCTCGACCATGATCTACACGGAGTGCGTGGGCACGTATACAAGCAGGCGGCGGCACTGGAGAGGGAAAAGGATGCTGGTCGGTTAGGTGCTGACAAGGCGGAGACGATTCTGAAGCTGATGTGCAGAGTCATGGTCCAGAGTCGGGACGTGGCAGTGCAATGTCAGGTCGGTGACGCCTTGAAGGCTCTGTTGGACGTCTCGCAAAATACTACTGGCCCAAATGCCACACCTGTGAGTGACGCTCCCATACTTTGGAAATGATCGCTCAGTCGTTGGTTAGGCTGCCATCAATGCAAAGATGCTGGCTCGTCCGAAAGACGATCCAGGGACCGAGAAGTTTTTGGACTATTTCTACAAGAACTGTCTAGAGGTGTTGTTTCGGCCCTATAGCGATATACCAGACTTCAGGAAGCAGACAGGTGTGTGTTCTCCGACGATTCCTCATAGTCTAATCTAAAGCCTCCATTTCAGAACCAGTTTTGAGGCTCTCGCGAGAGAAAACTAATCTTTACCTATACTTATCCGATTTACTCTGCAACTTCGCCCAACAGCATGCATTCCGCAGCCATTTCTACATGCTCTCTTCAAACATCTCCGCTCGCGTGGCCACACTGCTGAGTGCTCGAGATAAACATCTTCGACTCGGTGTGTGCCGCCACGTTTTCCGGAGAGGGTCTTCCATTCTGATGCCTGTCCGTCTGTCCTTTTCATAGCTGCTTTCCGATTCTTCCGAATATGCCTTAAGATCAACAACAAAAACTTCCTTAACCACCTTATGAAGTTGGACGTTTTCAAGCCAATACTCGACCTTACTATACTGGAGTCTCATCGGGATAGCTTGCTCAGCGCATCTTGTCAGGAGTTTTTCGAGCATATTCGACGAGTGAGTCCTCATCTCGTTCATTAATGACGGCTATCTTAACTTGAGGCTATAGGAAAATATGAAGGAACTTATTGATCACTGCATGACAAATCATGGTGGATCAATCCGCCAACTTGGTGATGCACCGCTCGGTGGACCACGTTTCGGCGCATTCATACGCCGCTGGGAGATCAACGTCGAGCCTCCACCCAAGGAGGAAGTCAAGAATGATCGGTAAGTTGATTCTTATCACCGAAAAGCGTTCCGGGCTCAATCTGCCTCAGGGGCTTCAGAGATCCGCGCCGCATGGGTCGGAATACCGATGCTGAAGAGGAGGACTACTTCAACGGTGATGACGACGAGTCAGATGCGCTCCCTCCATATATCAGCTCGCCCAACCTCGGAGGTCGTGCTGCTTCCCCCCTCAGTGCCCTAAAGCGCAAACGCCGGGGAGCAATGGTTGCAGCCAAAGCTCTCCGACCTCAGAGCCTTGTACTTCCTCGGACACCTCCCCTACCGTCTCTCATGGACTACGGCGAAGAAGATGAGGACATCGGCCCCCCCACTCCTCCCGACACATCATCCACCTCTCCCACCTCGAAAACGTCACCGAAGGAGAATCCCTCCTCTCCCCTCTCTCATTCTGCAGACATACCGCCCAGTCCACGTTTAGCTCATCGTCAGATTCCCCGGCCATCATCACTCCCACGACGACGCTCATCGGAAGAGGATGATAACCTCCTGGAGTCGTTGCTACGACCGAGAGGTGTTCCACTATCACCTTCATTAAGCGAAGATATCGTGAAACTCTCCTCCAAAGCCCAGTTACCCCCAATACGACTGTCTGAAAAGCGGAGACGGGAAGAGGATGACGAGGATGAGTTGCTAGAGCGCCTAGCAAGCAAACCCAAACGCGCCGATCTCGGGACGCAAAGGGGGGATGAACCCGTTGGCGGTCGAGCAGGGTCGACGAAGCCGGGAGACGACCCACCCAAACGTATGAAAGTGATGTTCCGCCCCACGAGTATCGCTGCAGCCCAATCGACATCGCCCGTACCTTCAGAACCTGGCGCCAAAGATGGTGACACTGGTTAAATAATGCTTTACGCGACGCCGCACTGTTCACTTAGACCACACATTCCTATGTGTTTTTATGAGCAACTTCTCTGTAGCTCCACGGGGCACTCATGGCACTGTTCTGTATCTCAATGTCTGTACGTCGTACTTTTCGTTTGCTGAAACAGAACTTGCCAAGATGGTATGTATAATATCGTCAGTGTCTATCATATATACCAATCCATATGAAGCCCTTGCCTTCCATAAGGCCATCGACCATCGTTCATGACCTCAGAATTCGGAATCGAAGTTGAAAATGGCTGCCATTAGTTGGTACTGGTAGTAGAAGAGGGAACGACAATCTCACCATCTTCGTTAATATTTGTGGAAAAAAAAGGACTGCCCCAGTGAGGCTCGAACTCACGACCTTCCGATTATTAGCTTACACGAAAACATAACAGTCGGACGCTGTAACCAACTCAGCCATGGGGCACACGGGCGTCTTTGAGAGATTGTACATTATGAAGCCCTGACTACTCCGAGCACTTCACTCTTGTACAGCAAAGCCAGGGTGTCTTATGGTGATAAAAATGCGAATCTCTTTATTCAGGGTGTTGGCCTCATTGGGCTGCAGCGCACTCCTGCTCCCCTACTGTCTTGTCCATCGACTCTCCGTCCTCTCTTTCAATGTCCTGCATCTGGGCCGGTGCCACATTCCTGCCATCAGCTTCGTGATCCGCTTCGTCAACTTCTGACACATCTTCGATGTCGTCCTGCCAGTGACACACATCTTCGTTGTCGTCTGCACCCTCGCCCTGAAGATCGCCTTCACCCTCAACCTTACCGTCGCCGCTCTTTTCCCTACTTGCGCCCTGAAATTTCCGCTGAGGTATGACGGCCCAGAAAGCCGCTTCCCAGTTGCGAGTGTCCAGCCATTTTAGGAGAATCTCAAACACCTGTCAGCCAAAGTAAGTCAAGTTCCCTGGCATTTAGTGACTGTGATGAGGGATGAATCAACGTTTTACGACATGTGAAACGACTCAGTGCTGGGATAGTGTAAAGTATTACGCTGAAAGGAGTGACTACGTCTCACAATCATGAAGACATGGTTTTCCGCACGCTGGGAAGCGATATGAATTGTATAAACTTACCTGGTTGACGGTAAGCACCTTGCGCGTTGTAAGTGCGATATAGCGACCGATCGGAAGACGGGCATGGCGGATACGAGAGCCATCAGCTTTGTTTAGGCAGAGATTCTGTGACCTTTGATAAGTCTGATGAGGGTAAATACAGAAAAAGTAGGCGTGCTGACCTTGTATCGATTATGATCACATATTCCGCCAATGATATACGTCTCACCCTCCTTGAGTTCTAGGAGCTCTTCTGAGGAGTCGGCAGTGAGGTATACGACAGTGCTGCGGATGGCATCAGCCTGGTGGTCTGGCGCCAAGCTGCCTTGCGCATTCCCTAATTCACTTGAGGACCGGCCAGAATGGGAGGCCTCTGTCCAAATACGATCGTAGCCCTCCTCCCACCACTCCGTGTTCGTCCATCTCCTGTAGCCAGCTTCATTTATGGCATCTAACCTTTGCTTGGTTCTCCCATCAAGTGAAGTGAACAACAGGGACGAAAAGGAGCATGCAGCGCGTCGATTGGTGCCGTACGTATACGCCAGTTGTGAAGTGAGAGAATTAATCTCCTACGATTTGACCGTCATCACCACCACGTGGGGACACAAGAGCGAGGTGAGACACGCACCTTGTCCGACATCAGTTCATCAAAACCCAGATCGACAACAACTCTCGCATCGAATTTTCTCCCCTCACCATCAGCATTGGTTTTGCGTCGTTTCGGAGAGAGGCTCTCGTCTATTTCACCGTTTGCAATTGCCTGGGAGCGTTCACGGCGCTTGCGCTTCTTGGCCTCTTTTTCGCGTGCCCTGCGTTCAAGCTTAAGTTCATGAAGCCTTGCAGCTTTTGCGGCGCGCTTCTGTGCCTTTTTGGAGAGACCCTGAGGGTGTGAGGACTCTGTTTCCTGTTCTTCTGCTTTTGGTTGACTTGCGGTGTACTCGACGGAGGGGGTGGCCATCGACGCGAGTGGACGGATGTGATTGGCTGCGAGTGCTCGGCGGGCGTAATGCTTGCCGGTCCGGTTTGGGCCGAAAGGTATATCGATTTCATGAATCGAGTTATTAGCTCGCCGTGGCTCGGTGCATGCTTTTGGTCACATCGGTGCTCAGGGCATCTTTAGCAGTGGCATTTCTTGCTATCTTCTTCGCTTTCTATCCCCCCTCATTTCTCTTCTCATATTATACCTCCTCCACTGTAACCACCAGACGCTCCCCCCGTGTCAAAAGTCTTTCCACAGGTACAGAAGGCAAAATGGCAGCGGTTCAATCAGTATTTGGTCCATTCGAAGTGGTAAAGCCGCTTGCAAAACACACGGCAACTGTAATTTTCCTTCACGTATGTTAGCTTCCTCAGTCCCCTCTTTACCATCGTTTGGCTCGCCCCTGTGTCGTATCGTCCCCCCTACTCACTGGAATTTGCTTACTAGGGTCTCGGTGACAGTGGCAAGGGCTGGCTCGGCATCATCAACGAATTCAAAGACCAGCTGCCTCATATCAAATGGCTTCTTCCAAATGCACCAAGCCGCCGTATCACAGCCAATTGGGATGCCATGTTTCCCGCGTGGTTTGATCTTCCCTCCTGGGACTTGGGGGACACAAACGAGGATCGCGTCGGAATGTTTGAATCCGCTCGTACAATCGACAAACACATTCAGGATGAGGTCGACGCTGGTATACCTGTCGAACGAGTTGTTCTTGGTGGGTTCAGTCAGGGTGGCGCCATGTCCATCTTGGCTGCCCTCACAGCTCGCGGCGAAGAAGGCGTAGCTGGCGGAAAAGAGGGCTGGAAGCTTGGCGGCGTGGCCATCCTGAGCGGATGGATGCTTCTTCAGGACGAATTCCCAAAAGTTAGCTCGGCTTTGTAACAGTAAGATACGTGCTGACACCACTCCTACAGATGGTTTCCCCACACCTGGCCACTACACCGGTACTCATGTGCCACGGTACCGTTGACAACGTCGTACCTTACAGCCTGGGTCAAAAAGCTGCCACAAAGCTCACCACCCAATTCAATATGCCCTCGCTGGAAAACCTCACTCTCGCAATGCAAGTGCCGTTGAGCGGTTACTCACCCGAGGATGGCAAGATGGGTGTACCTGGCTTGAGTTTTAGGTCTTACAGATCGTCGGGTCACGAGGCGTGTGATCGAACGCTGGAAGATTTGAAGGTGTTCTTGGGGCGCGTTCTTCCTCAGTGATCGCAGCGCTGGATCGGAAAATACTTCGGATTGGATGGAAGGATGGAAAGGATATCCCCACTTCTGATTTCTTGCCCTTGGTCCTGTTGGCTTTGACATTTGTATGGGTTTTCATATCGGCTACCCCTTCATGGCTACTGTTCATCCCCCTCTTGGTTTTGCCTGCTTCTACGCCGTGCGCAGTCGGCGCTCTTTGCAGCTGACTGGCGGACTATTCATCTCATTCCCATCATGTACTATCTCAGCCAATCTGCTAGCACTTCATCTCCTGTTCTCAGAGTCGGCCGAACGTTGCATAATGAAATGCCAGTCATCCTCACAGGCATAATCTACCAGCGACGGGGAAGGTTTAGAAGAATGATAGTACAGAATTCGCGAAGCCTGAATGAAATTAACTTCTAAACCAGTTCCTTTCTTGGTTTGACTGTGCTCTGTTGGCGCGTGTGGACAGGTGTGGGTCCACCCCTGAAGCCGCACTACTAGCGGGTTTCTAGAAACCTCTTACCTGGTGCGGGCTTGGAGCCGCATGTTTAGCACATGAACGCTCGGTCTCTAAGGCCCCACTAATAAGTATCATGGGAGATCTCCGGTACAATGGTGGTTGGTTGCCCATCTGTGTATAGCAACTTGTTTCAACGACCGAGGTGCAGACTCGTCTACAGAAGATTAACATCCTCTATTCCGGCCATAGAGACAACAAAGTATGTACCAAAGCCTCAGTTATGACAAATATTAGGCTGGAGAGTGTTCGTTGCTTGAAAGAGTGATGGATGTGACGAGCGACCCGAAAACTCGGACGGCCTTCACTCGCACAATATTTAGGCACTATGGGGAGTCGGGAAAACTTTGGTTGATTAGCCAACTCATTGACGATGTAAAGATGGATATCAGCCTGAAGTCTGTGGTTCCGTACAGCGATATCGTTGGGAGACACTTGAAAGCGTCCGGGATGTCCCGTTCCTGTCTTCCGGCGTCGAAAAGATGTTTGACACATGTTGTTAGCAGTTTGCTGACCTCCATTTGACACTCGGTCAGAGGTCCATCTGGCGACCATGGCGGGGCAAGAGGGGCAGGGTCCAACGGGCAACTTTGGAGACCCAGCAAGTGGCGTTGAGCGTTTGAAGCCCAAGCGCTGTCGACTGTTGTCTCCAGCGCTCCTAGTATGCCTTTCGGGAGGTCCCCGCATTAGTAACAAATGAGCTGGATGTTCCCTGGCCAGGTGTGCTGATTAGCTGGAGAATGGTAACACATGTGGATAGCACACCGTATCTGAACGGGGTTGGGGATGAGAAGAATGTCCCCAGGCCCCGACAACGGACCTGGCCCAGTCTAGCGCTGAGAGTGCTGTAGCAAGTCACTCCTAAGTTCGTGCCACAGCATCATAAATGCAAGTTGCACATGGCAGGACTGATCTGGGGCATCCGAAACACCGCATGGAGCAACCTTCTATATCCCCGGATACGAGGGCGAGCGAAGTTGCAGATGAGCTTCATTTGTACTACTCAGTCACTGGCTTCTGTGCTCAGAAATGAACAGTTGCACGTGGGTGGTCAACCGTTCCCTTATTGAACGAGCGGGCTGGATCCTGTCACTCTGTGGAGGAGGAAATCAGTATAGTGAACCTTGGCGTCAGGCCGAAGCTACGCTCGCCAAATTGGGCGGTTGTCGCCCACCGGCGTCGGTGATGAGCCGCTCAGTTGCATGTCAATGGCAAGTATGAAATCAGCGCGCCAAGCATACGACGCCGCCGGTTATCAAGCGTCCATGCCCTCCCTAGCAATCCCTATGACACTCACGTTCCGGCGGTTGTGAATTTATTGTTATCCGCAAGTGCGTAAACAAGTGCGATACAGCCTTTGACCGACAAAGTTTGTGCAAAAAGGACACAGCTGATAGCGGTGGCAATATCGTGCTTCCTTATCAAAGGACATCTTTCAGACTCGTCTGCGCAGACCCGCGCTCAAGGGGCTTCGGCTGTGTTGGTGAAGGCTTCCATCCAATCTGAGTGGATGAATGATAAGTGGGGTATAATGATGAAGGAAGACAGGGGAGATGTGTACCATGTATATTATTTGGAACGTCGCTGGGATTGAACCATCTTCTTGACCATGTAGCTCTACAAATGGGATATCAATCTACCTATTAAGTCGTGAATCATGCTTGAGCG